TTGAAATGGAATTAATCCATTTCGGCCGAAGGGAAAAAATCACCAAAAACACAAACAAACAAACAAACAAACAAACAAAAACCACTACAAGACCCATCGGAAATGCAATTAATCCGTTCTGGCCCAAGAAGGGGGGGGGGAGAGGAAAAAGCAAGCAAAGTGTGCAAGACGCATTGGAAATGCAAAAAAAGCAAAGCAAAAAAGCAAAAAAAATGCTGCTTATCTACCACCCCATAGTCCTTCAAACACTCTCTGGGCAGTTTACAAGTTATTATGCAGGCTACACATTGCCTCCCCAGCAAGCTGGGTACTCATTTTACTGACCTCGGAAGGATAGAAGGCTGAGTCAACCTTGAGCCGGCTACCAAAGGAAAAAGCAAGGGAAGCATGCAAGGCCCATCGGAAATGGGGAAAAAACCTCAAAAGCAACCAAACCCCCAAGTCCCATCGGAAATGGGGAAAAAAACACTCCAAAAAGCAACCAAATTCCCCAAGACCCATCAGAAATGGGGAAAAACACTCCAAAAACCAACCAACCCCCCCCCAAGACACATCGGAAATGGGGGGAAAACCCAAAAAGCAAACCCCTCAAGACCCATCACAGCATAGAAACATAATGCCACCACCCAGCCCAAAACCACGATGCAAAACCCACCCAGGACAATTTTTTAAAAGCAGAAAGCAGTACCTTACCTTACCAGGCAGTCCGAAGCCTCCTCCAATTGCACTCACTCTAACTGTTGGGGCAAAAGAGCTACAAAGAAGCAGCCTCTTCTTCGCCTACCAATGGTTAGCAATTTGAATTCCCCGCCTTTTTCCCTGCCTTTTTTTTTGTTGTAACTCAAAGCTCCAGCCGCAAGTCAAAGCAAACTTTTGCGGCTGGAGCTGGTTGTAACTTGAAATGGTCGTAAGTCGGGACATTCGTAAGTCGAGGCACCAATGTAATGGCAATCTGCAGGGCTACAGTGTAAAATAATACCAATTGTGCTGGCTCTGGAAGGACCAGCATCAGCCTGAGGTGAACCTGTCCGTGGAAGACAAGACCAAAGAGCAAGCAGAACCAAAGCAGGCAGGATTCAAGTTAGGACTAAAAAGCAAGGTTTGAAGACAGGAAAGTTCAGGCAGGCCTTCTTATTCAAACAAGACTCAACTGCAACAGGAAGCCCACTGAACTCCTTCCTGTCCAGAGGACCAACGACCAACTCTGGCATGTGGAGTCAGTTTCAGACTTGCAGAAGGGCAGTTATGAACGACATATGAAAGATCATTAAGAGTAAATCTATGTTCCTGGAGACCAAGGCCAAGGTCATCCCTACTATGTTATTCCTGACCACTGTGTACGGGTGTAAATGGTGGACACTGAAGAAAGATGACTGGGGAGGTGGACAAGACATTTCAAATGTAGTGTTTGAGGAAAGTTTTATGGATACCATGGACAGCCAGAAAGACAAAGAAGTGAGTTCTCTATCAAATAAGGCCTGAAATCTCTCTTTGAAGTGAAAATGACAAGACTGACGCTATCATACTTCAGGCATATCAGGAGGAAACAAGGAGGAAACAAGGAAAAGACAAATGCTGGGGAAAGTGGAGGGCAGCAGAAAAAATGAGATTAACTGACTCAAAACAGAACCCACAACCATGGTTTGCCAGACCTAAACAGGGCTATCAGTGAAAAGATCTTCTGGAGATCACTAATTCAGAGTTGCCTAGATTAACTTCAGGGCACATAACAGCTTCTCATAACGACATAGTCTCTCTGTGAAACTACGTAAACATTGATTCCAGACTGTGCTCAGGATTCTACAGGACGACTGAAGGAATGAATGTCTTAAGCTAACAGTCTATGCAAGACTACCCCAGTGCAAGAACCTCAACACAGGTTAGCATGTCTTGTAAGAAACTCCTTAAGGCAACACACATTTATAGTGAGAAATCATTAATGTTCTACTATCTGGCAGGAAACATTTCTATGGTAAGATTTACAGCACTTCCATGCCATGGAAAGGAAGCAGAGATAAAAAGGTTTGTACGAGTCCTGAAAGACTAGTAATAGTGTATTTGGCAGAGAGGATTAAAGGAGATGGGGGCCCCAAGTTGCCTTAAGAGACTTAGGCTTCTGCTTTAAATCCTGCTTTCCCAGACATCTAACAAATCAAAAGCATATGATAATAGGAGCCTTCTTCAGCTTCAGACTTTGTTTTTCCCCAAGTGGAGAGAAATGTAAGACAATGATGAACATAAACCTTCTTGTGATCCCCAAAGGTTCAACTACTGTCTTCCTTTAGGTCTTCTGGTTTACTGAAATACTGTACAGACAATAGAGCAGAAATACTGTTTCCCCAAAAATAAGACCTAACCTGAAAATAAGCCCTAGTATGATTTTTCAAGATGCTCGTAATATAAGTCCTACCCCCCAAATAAGCCCCAGTTAAGTCAAACCCCACCCTCCATCATTGTGCAGAAACCAGACGACCCACTACAAGACCCCTCTTGAGAGTCCCCTGGACTGCAAAGGAGAACAAACCTATCCATTCTGAAGGAAATCAACCCTGAGTGCTCACTGGAAGGACAGATCCTGAAGCTGAGGCTCCAATACTTTGGCCATCTCATGAGAAGAGAAGACTCCCTGGAAAAGACCCTGATGTTGGGAAAGTGTGACGGCAAGAGGAGAAGGGGACGACATGGTTGGACAGTGTCATCGAAGCTTCCAATGTGAATTTGACTGAACTTCGGGAGACAGTGGAAGACAGGAGGACCTGACGTGCTATGGTCCATGGGGTCACAAAGAGTCGGACACGACTTAACGACTAATCAACAACAAAGTCAAAACCCGCCCTCCACCACTGTGCAGCAACCAGACATGACTGTATTTGAATAAACATAGGTTGTTATACATGAAAAAAATAAAATAAACATCCCCTGAAAATAAGCCCTAATGTGTTTTTGGAGCAAAAATTAATATAAGATCCCGTCTTATTTTCAGGGAAATGCAGTACTTAATCTATCATCTTTTAGAAGTAAAAGTTTAAACCAGACTGAGGCAACTGCTGGGTAGATAAGCAAACTCTTATGCTGGGATTTGCAAAAACAAAGCAAAACAAAAAACCCAAACAGGTGGACTTAACAATGTTTGCCCTCATCGTGCATGTTAACCAACCTCCAAATCCTAGGAACATTGGGAGTTTGGAAAACAAGCTTTTAACTACAGATACAAGTTCGAGATACCAAATCTAATTAAGCCATAAAATCCCGAAGAAGATCCTGTTGAAAGACATCGAGATTGATTATGCCCTCTGGCTTCTAGTCTTGCTGTTTTGTCCTTCACAGATCTTCTATTCAATATACCATGTGGTGGTGATGGGCTTCCAGTTTGTAGAATGATGTGTTTAGCTGCTAAAGCTGCCCATAGGATCCACAATGTATGCCCATTTCTGGTGTTCCACTTTGCTGACAGGTATTCTAGCTATGCTTTATGTGCTGGTAATTCCAGAGCTTTCAAGTTAATGTGTTTCATTGTTTCTTGCCAAAAGCGAGCAATGTCTGGGAACAACCTCAGAATCTGTGCTCCCCCCCGCTCCCCAGAACTCAGTCCACAGCTCATCCAGCATCATCAGATCTCGCTCAATCTTGGCACAGGAATATAACAGTCCATGTGCTTGTGGTCTGCTGTGTGTATAAATCAACAGCGTCCCTGCAGTGTCTGGAACTGCTGGAGTGTCTGGGCAAAATCTAGCCTTTAGGCAGTGGCTTGAGTTGTAAGATATTGCCAAAGGGGGTATATTTTAGTCGGACATCAATTCTGCCTTGAGGCCATCAAAGGATTTGAAACAGTCTTGCTTGTGAATTTATGCTAGGTCAATTTCAATTTTAACCCATTAATGCCACATTATTAGTCTACCTCCAAGCTACAAGTTGAGTGTGAGGTCTTTGTGTGTTTAAAGGTCCACAGCACAACAGGAGGGAAGCTGACTTAATTAATAAAATACTTTTTAAAAATCAAAATATATCTACTGCTTTCCTAGAATTGATTGGTGATTGACCTAGATAAGATTTGAGGCTATAAAAGCTGTAGGCTGATGCCACTTTTAAACTGTCTCCCTCTTCATTTGCCTCCTCCTTTCCTGTGCTTTGCCACTAGATGTTTTGTTCTGTCTGTTCCTGTATTTTCAGGAGCATGAATAATCTATATATGGTGTAACTGTAATTGTAAGTATATGTGCCAGGTTACCGAGTCAGGTGGCAGATCATGCAAAACAATGCAAAGCGTGTTGCTTATATACTACCTTGTGGTGTTTAAAGCACTTTCTGCATACCTTAATTATGCAGGCTACACACTGCCCCCTTGCCCAGCAAGCTAGGTACTTAATTTACCAACTTTGGGAGAATGGAACGCTGAATCAACCTGAGCCTCTTGAGATCAAACTCAGGTTGTGAGCAGTGTTGACTGCACTACTGAAGTTTAACAACTACTTTACAAAGCTAAAAATACTGGGGAGGAACACATGGTCTAGGTTCAAAGAAGGACATGTTTTTTAATTGAATTGTTTTTCAATAAACGTTTTTTTTAAAAATAGATCAGGCTATATTAATATTTTGCACTCTGCGGAGCTAAGAAATCTTTGGTTTTTTAATTGAATTGTTTTTCAATAAACATTTTTTAAAAAATAGATCAGGCTATACTAATATTTTGCACTCTGCAGAGCTAAGAAATCTTTGTTTTTTTTTTGGACTACAGCTCCTAGAACCCCACAGAAAGCATGAGCAGGAGAAGCAAACCTAACAAACTATTTTTATTGTCAGCATCGAGTCTTTACAAAACAATTGCAATAAAAAGTACAAAACAGCAAGTAAAGTGCAGACATAAAAATAAAATATTGGCCCAAATCCTGTAGTTTAGCATAGTCATTCACACTTCAGTGGGCTCACTAAATCGAGGAAGATTTAATGAGTTAGCTCTTCCATAAGGTCCACTGATTCAGATGGAAGATTTAATGAGTTAGCTCTTCCATAAGCTCCACTGATTCAAATGGACAGAAAGTCACAGTTAGAGTAGGCCCATTTGAATCAATGAAACCTATAAAGTGGAACCTAGAAATCTCCATTTTACTACAATTTACTACAAGTAACAGGATTCTGGCCATTAAAATTTTTCAGATTTTGCTGGATGTCTATTTCAGATGATTTGCCAATTGAAAGAAATGCTTGGAAAAGTTACATTTTCAACCACAGAATATGGGCTTCCCAGATCACGGCTCTTTACCAGACATCCTAGCTGGAAGATGCTAGGAGATAACAGTCCAAAGAGGGAGAGCATAATCACAAGCCTGAAAGTCTCTGGGAAGTTTAGTCAGCTTCACTAAACTGAAGTTTAGCCTCTCCTCAAGCAAAGAACATGACATTGGATTTTAATTATTAAAAATACATAAATATAGTTTTGTGAAAATATTCAGAGGTTTGCATTTGTTTTTCCTTAAAATATCATCAATGGGATTTCAATTAATCTGGAGCCAACTGATAGTACTACTCTGCCCGATTCAAGAGGAGTGAACCAGACGGAGTAACTACAGCACATATTGAGGCCAGAAGGACCATTTCCAGCCAGTCAGAGTGAGCATCAGAGCAAGTCTTTCTCTGAACTTGTGCCACCTTCCTGTTTTGTTCTTGGCTTGTACAGTAACCTTAAATCAAGACCTCAGATCCTTCTTCTCTGGCCTATGACTCTCCAGATAAGTTTGGGCTTCCTGCTCCCATCAGCCCCAGCCACTAAGGCTAATGGTGAGAAACTACAGGCACAGAAATCCAAAAACACTGAGCAGGTGGCACCAGACTGAGGGAGGCTGCCTCAGAAATGTGCTCGAGACGAGCAAAGTTCCTGATTCATATCAGCAAGAGAGCGGTTCCTAGGGAGTTCAAAGGCCATCTCTGGATTCAGGCAGCTATCTTTCGATGGTATCCCCATCATTCAAATCTCCAGTTTATCAATATCGGGTCTAAGACCAAATAAAAATTCTGCCAAATCAAAAGTAAGAAATTGGGTTGTTTGGAAGAGGGCATCCTAGTTATCACAGGGCATTAAGTAACCTTTTGAATTTCAGAGACATTCAGGGTGAAAGAGTGGCTTCAGATTTGTTCACCATGTGTCATCTTTCTTGATGCTCGGTTTGTTTGCTTCTTTCAAACAGAGAGGCTTTCCCAAGAGTCTGTGCCTAGAAATTAACACAAAATATAACCTTCAGACAACATAGCAGAGAAGGTCCTACACAGCAAGCTGTGCTGTGATGAACAGACACACACGTGGGCCCCAGAACATGCTCCTTTACTTTTTGAAAGAAACACGGAAAGTTCAGCCAAACATGGTTACATAAGAGGCTTTCAAAAACTTTACATAATTCTGAATACTCTGGGTCTGATTTTCTGATCTTTGAAGGTTGTGTTCCAGTTCCTTCAAAGACACTTCGTGATGTTTTTCTCTCTGTGGGGAAAAACACAAATGTTATTAATAAACGTAATATTTAATTACTATATAAGAAACAGGTACATAAAAATATCTCTGGTCATTCAAAACTCGTACCAACTGACTGACTGACTGAGCATCTATTTGTGCCAAACAAGGAATGAAACATTTCATTGCTAGGTAAGTGAAGTAACCTAGAGCTTTAAAGGGCTTCTTTATATGTTGAGAAATAAGACAAAGATGACCATCATGAAACAATCCTACAAATATAATTAAAATTTTTGTTAAAGAAGGTTCTGTGACACTGTTGTACCAGTGCAGTCTTGAAACCCCTGTACTGGATTTTTTTTTTAAAAAAAAATGACTACACCTATAGCCAATTTAAATTACATTTTTGGTACCAAAGGTACTTGTTAAAACAGATGATTGATAGTGCTTTTGCAGAATCCATTTACAACCCCAAGACCTATAAATTATTTGCACCATTCTTAGGATTTACTTTCATGTTTATGAGAACATAATCTTTTAAAATACAGATGGTTAAAATAAATGTCAAGAAGTAGCCCAGAATTTGTATGTGCTGGGTTTATTTTTATGTGCAGTAATCACTTCTGGTTAAAAGTGATCAAGCAAATTACTTTCTTGGGGCTTGTTGTTCTTTTTATTGTGATGCCCCATGACCTTAATAAATTTAGTAGTTTTGAGCCTTGTTTGTAAGTATTTACAGTACATTTGTACTTTCAGCAACACTGCTTCACCAGGAGTGGAACAATCTGGTCTGTGTTTTACACACACACACGTTAGCTTCTGCAAACACACACACACATATGTGTATATATGTCTGTAACTGGAGGAAACGAACAATGAGCATGTTCTGTGTTCACTCAACGACACCATACTCATGCTTAAATAAAATCAGGTTCATATTTATTTTAAACTGTCAAGGCCAAGGCAAATGAAAGTGGAAAATGCTTAAACCACAAACAGCCTGACCATGACAAAAGGAAGAGAAGGGAAAATGCTGCTGGAAAAATATATATATAAGAAACACATGATTCCGATGTAATAGGCCTTCAGATGGAAAGTTTAGGCATGTTAACAACTCCCAAATAAACTAAGGATTTATGGGTCAAGGGAGCTCCTGATTAACTCAACAACAGTGGACCCCAAGATACAAAGACCCACTTGCCACCTTGCACAAATCCTGGAGCATTTTAAACCAGGAAAGGAGAGGTGGGGATTTATTTTTATTTTTTGCAAACTAGTGGTAGAACAGGGTCTAGGCATATAGAAAGCCACAACTTCAATCCCTTGCAGGCAGAACTATGTCTGAAACCTCAAAAAGCACTTCCAGTCAGTACAGACAAAACACAACAGTGGCAGTGAAATCCTTCTACACACAGAAGTACAGGATTGCACCATTAAGAAGCATCTGTAAGGCTGCATGCAGCCTGCTTGAGCTGGAGAGAAACCTGACCAAGGTTTCCAAATGAACTTTACTTCAAATACCATAGCTCAGGTCTACTGCCCTGGCAGTACCAGCATGAAGAGTAAATTCAGAATTAAACCCAAAAGTCATGTTAATTCTGTAATTGTTGATATTCCCTTGAAATTCTATTTATTTATTTAAATAAGTGTGTGCCCCCCCCCCAAGTAAGATTAGGACATAAAGAGGAAGATCTGGACCCATACAATCATTAAAAGAAGAGAAAAAGAGATAACTGCTACATGGGAGTGAAGGATTTGGGTTGGAAAGGATGATAACTCACTGCCCCACATGCAATGGGGTCCTGATATGGACTAGAGGAACCTCACACTTATTTTGCAATAGAGAAGGGAGCTTCGTACTGGGAGTGAAGGATTTGGGTTGGAAAGGATGATAACTCACTGCCCCACATGCAATGGGGTCCTGATATGGACTAGAGGAACCTCACACTTATTTTGCAATAGAGAAGGGAGCTTTGTACTATGTTACATGCTATGTAATGAGTGGAATATTTGGTTCTGTTTCCAACACTTAAAGCAAACAAATTAGGAACTAAACAGATATCTCCAGATTTACCATTAGACTCAGCCTAGGAGACTGTACGTCGAAAAATAGGGAGCAGTTCACAGGCTTCTCAAGTCACCGCTTCCTTCACCCAAACCTTGCCTCCTGCAAGCTGAAGGAACCAGATGACATGTCCACACATCCCAATGCCAACAGATCCCTGTCCAAAGTCCCAGTGATATTCTCTACCTGGTGCTTTGGCCAGGAACCCAAGCAAGCAAGAAAGGAAGACTGTGCCTGTAGCCTGCTCTCAGTCTACGGGGAGGGGAGCATCATTGGATTCCTGTCCAGGAGAAGAAACGTGGACAGGTGCTGTTGATGGTGGCCTGGCGTTGCCAGTGGGTCAAATATGTTCACTGAGACCATCCAGAGGGCCTTTCAAAGAGTCTGCTGCGTTTCCCAAAACTAGTCTCCCTGCTCGCCCACCCACCCCTTTGTGAAAAACCATGCATATATGAGTTTAATAAGCCTCTTCAGGCACTTCCCCCTCTGCATATAAACTATGTGACAATAAGGGGCAGTATTACTTTAGTTACAACTTGAAAGCAAAATGAACAGCATAAACAGAAACAAAGGGACATCGCTAAAAATGAGGCTTAATTCTCCAAATACGCATTTTATTGGCTTTTAGAAACAAGAGAAAGCACAAAAACTGAGGATTAGCTGGAACATCTGGCAACCTCCTCTGAATCAGAAGACAGCTGCTAAATTTGCCTATTTTAAACACAACATGTGCTTGAATTTTGTAAATACTATGTACTAGAACTTGGGTGGGTCATGTCACGTTTGCATGCTTTTCAATCGGGTTGAAATGCAAAGAAGAGGGAAATGCAGAACATGTAAAGCTTGCTATTCTTTGTCTTTAAATTAAATATGTACAAGGTGGCTTTCCTTAAGATCAAAATGATTTTTAAAAAACAGTATTAAAATCTCTACACCAGATGTTCCGTTATCATATAGACCCAATGTTATGGAGTGAGGTCACATCTACTTACAGCATCCAGTCTTCTAGAAAGCTGTTTTTGCTCTTCTTTTTTCTTTCTTAATTCATTTTCTAGATCCAGTATTTTCATTTGAAAGGCTTGCTCTTTAGAAGTGATTTTTTCCATCTCTTCTGTTAACTGTAATAAAAGTTCAGCCATATACCATATATCTTACAATGTGCATCTGATATAGTGGGCTGCAGTCCATGAAATGTTATGTCAAATAAAACATATTAGCCTTTATTCTTTGCTGTTTTTATTGAAACACTTAACTTTTCAGTTTCAGGACCAGATGTTAAGGGCAGATGGAGTGATGTTTTCACTGAAGATTAAATATACGTATTGTAAAAAATTGCAATAAAGAGTAATGGGGAACATAAGAAGTTACCAATAATTTTACAGAAAAAGAACAGAAAAATAACACGTTGATCATTTTGGTTTGTTTGTTTTTATCAAGAAGAACACTGCTAGTTCACATATGTGAATGTTACGGAGTCACCCTCCCAGAGAAATGTATTTATCGCATGTACAGGCCACCTTGTTCTAGATGAGGGGATTCAAGGCAGCTCGGTGTTAAAAAATAAATAAAATTATGAACCTAATACATTACAAAAAAAACAAACTGTAATATTTATTAAAATGCATTGAATGATTAAAAAACATTTAAAACTTTAAAACAAACTTACTTAGCTAAAAACCAGCATTCTGTTATGGTTATTAAAAGACTACCTGAGAAGGTGGTCTCTAATAGACGAAGACCTGCCTCTTCAGAGGGCTTGCATATTGGGGTGGGAGGGTGGAGTGTTTACTCCTTCAGATAGCCTCAAATTGTATAGGGCATTATAGGTAATAACCAGCAGTTTGAATTGGGCCCTGGAAACGGACTGGTAGCAAGTGCAACTGTTGTAGCAGGGGCGTAATGCAGTCATTTGGGTCTCTGGCTGCAGAGCCAGAGGTTGGGAGTTTGATTCCCCGCTGTGCCTCCCTGACAAGGGCTGGACTCGATGATCCATAGGGCCCCTTCCAGCTCTCCAATTCTAAGATTATTATACACATTATGCACATAGTTATATGCTCCCTATAATTGGCCCCAGTCGGTAGTCTGGCAGCTGCATTTTGAACCAGCTGACATTTTTGAACCATCTTTGAAAGCAGCCCCACCCAAGGCAAGTTTCAGTAATCCAAATGGGATGCAATTAAGGCAAGTGTCACTGTAGCCAAAATGTCCATGCGTTGGGGCTAGCAAAGAAGAGGCGCGAGAGCTCTGCCCTTCCTGTGGTAGCCTGTTAAACAACATGCTCTTCTGGGCATTGGAAGGAGGAGAGACAGGCCCTTGCCTCCCCCGTCAGTTCCCTTGCTCACTTACATGCCCATCCTTGATGCCTTCAGAATCTAAGTCAGGGATACGATGCAAAAGAAGACAAGAAAAGTCTTGCTGGATGAGAACAGAGGCCAAACTCTGTCATTACAATAGCCAGCCAGTTGCCTACAGGAAACCCATTAGGAAAACACAAGAACTGTCCCCTCTTATTTCATTTCCCCCAACAAATGATATACTTATCTTGAATAATGGAGAAGATATACATCCATCCTGACTAGTAGCCACAGATGGCCCCGACCTTCAGGGATTTATCCAATCCTCTTTCAAAGCCATTTGAGTTGGTTTTAACTACACAACTACATACTGTGGCAGTGAATTCCACAGTTTAACAATGAGTTGTGTGAAAAAGTATGTTATATCTGCCTCCAGTCTCAGACTATTTCTCTTCAGTGGGTAACTCCCAGATTCAAGTATTACAAGAGACAAAAAGAAAAAGCTGTTCCATATCTGATTTCTCCACAGCAGGCAGCTATATGTTGGTGGACTACATGGCCCACCCTCCCTCACCACTCACTGGCTTAGCCAACGGGAAGTACAGTCCGAAAAGATCTGATGGGCTCCGTGTGCTCTACCTTCTGACATGATTCACGTCTGTTGGCTATGTATTCGTGTTATTTTGGGCCACCCTCCCTCACCACTCACTGGCTTAGCTAATGGGAAGTACAGTCCAAAAGATCTGATGGGCTCCGTGTGCTCCACCTTCTGACATAATTCATGTCTGTTGGATATGTATTCGTGTTATTTTGGACAGAACTCAAGAAAAGCAGAAGTCACCAGCAACGTCTCCCCTCACTATGTATTTTTGCACCTCTCATTTTGGTATTGCAGAACAGTGAAGACCATGGGGTGGGATACATGCATTCAAAAATGCCTGAGAATCCAAAATCTAAAAGGCGTCAGGTTGGGGAGACAAGGTGGAGGAAAGAACCTTTGCTTCATGTGGGAGTTTTTTTGGTCTACATCGTTCCATATGTGGTTTAATTCATTTTAAACTGCCCCACTGTAAAAACAAAACACAAGACCTGTACCAGATGGGAAATGGTTTCACCCAAAAAACTGTGTTTTCAAGGGAAGCAACACCATTAATCAAAGTATGAGTCCTGCTTAAGATACAGATCAGTTCAAGGTGTTCCTTTCTGGTGCTTAATCTGATCCAGAACATGGCTCTGGAGCCAATTTTCCAAGTCACTGAGCACCTTGGAAAATGTAAAAAAAAGTCATATGAAAAGAATGCCTTTGGGCATGTATAGAGTACATTCTCTCTCCACAGTGAGTCATCAATGGCCGCGCTCCAAAGATTGAAGAAGAGAGGAAGAAAATGCATTACTGCTGCTCCACAAAGTTTTCTGCGAGAGCTAGCAGGAAACATCTCGTAGTACCAGCGTCGCAATGGAAGAGGGGTTATTACCATAAAGAAAAAAGGGTTTTCAGGGAGGAAAGTAAGATTACCTGATTAACTGTGTGCAGCCAGAGCTTCACAGTTTATAAAAAGGTGGCTCTTTCCCATTCACCGGGGAAAAATAGTATCACATGGAATTTTTGAGAACCCAGTCAACTGTCTAATTTGTGAAGCCCTTTGCTTGTAAGACACGAACTCAGCAGTTGTAAGTAATATAATTAATATATTTCAAACAGGAACTATCTGAATGTTCAAAACTGCTTTTACCTTTTTCCTCCCATCTTCCAAAGCAGCTTCCAATTGTCTGGTTAATGCATCACTGTCTGCAAGTTTTTGTTTGAACTTGAGTTCAGTGTTCCGAAGACTCTCTTCTTGGCTTGCTAGCTGATGTTCAAGTTCTTTGTTTTGCAGTTCCACCTCTTCTAGTTTTCTTTTAAGGTAAGAAGCCATACAGGTGTTAAGATTACCGCGGGGGAGGGGAGGGAAAGAAAAGGAAAGGGGGAAAAAAAGCAATTATGAAGGACAATAAAAGGTTACACTTACCTTTTAACTTCTTCATACTTCCTCTGAATGTTTCGATTCTCCTCTTCCAAAGAAAGTTGTTCCAAGAACCCACCACTGTCCCCTACCTACAGAGGCAGTCGGTTTAAAATCTCAGACAAAATCATGTGCAGAAAATGAACTGATTGCAAATTAAGTTCTGTGCCAGGGATGGGGAAGGTAGGGTCCTCCAAACTGGCACTGCCATTCTCCCTCACCATTGGGTATGCCGACTACAGCTAATGGAGGTTGCCAATGGATTGTTGCCCTGTCTAAGTAGGGTGAAGAAGCAGGTTATTAGAGGACCAGTTATTCACAGCTAAACTGCTGGAAGAAATTAGCAGAAACCTACAGATACTCTTAGGAGATATTTCATCTGCATATATCAGTCCCAGCTTTTATGATAAAATTCTCCTCGTCAAGGGAGTCAATCAGTAACAACATTTTTTGTAACAATGTCTAAATCCCCCAAATTAAAAACAACCCCAATAATTAAAAACACACACAGAGAAATGGCAACAGCAATGTACTATCAAGCTGATTTTGACTTATGGTGGCCATTTCCAGGGTTTTCCAGGCATAGAGTACTCTGAAGTGCTGTGTACCTTGCTGTACCTTGCCCAAGGCTACACACACAGCCTGGCTCTTCTCCCAGGAGACAACATAGTGGGAATTAAACTCCCAACCCCTGCCTTCTCAGGCAAACAGCACTGAAGAATGACACAGCAGGTAAGATGTAGCCAACAGTGAAAACACAAATCAGAGACTTGATTTAAAAACAGCCATTAGGATAAAACAGGCTTTGAGTGTGTTTAAATGCAAGAGAAGAGGGGGGCGGAAACTCTTTTGTAAGGCAATTTCATAATTTAGGTGTCCCCTTTCCTGTTGGCCAAGAGACAATGAAGAACAGGAGAAAACAGTTCCTGAGATATGTAGGTCTCAGTCTGTTTAGTGCAAGAAATTTGTGAGAATGATTTGTTAGCAAAGGCACTGCTACCCTGACTCCCCCGGAAGGCTCCACTCACCACTTTCAAAATTGGATGGCTGTGGCAGGAACCCTTGGCCCAAAATCAAGCAGTTCTCTTTCAACAAGAAGGTGCATGGATAGCGCAACCCTCGCTGTGAAGCTGATCAGCAGCAAAGGATTGCCAAATGGCTTGAAAACAAGGCACACTGTCCCCCACAAGTCTTGTTTTAAATAGGATGCACTCCAGGAGTTTGGCTGCTGCCACAAATCAGTGGTACACATCAGTAAATTTCCATGAAAAATGGCAAGGAATCTGCACCAGGCGGCAGGAAGGCTACAAAAATGTGAGTAATTTTGTGGGGTCAAAATACTGCCCACTGATGGTTACAACTTTAATGGCCAAAATCAGCTCCTTGAACCGAGGCAGGAAACAGCTCTGATGCACTAAAAGAAGCAACGGAACTTTTGTTTTTTATCCATTTCATTGGAAAACAACACAACACAACACCCACTTGTATCTGTGCTTATTCAAAAGCTACAAGGACAAGAGAGGTGACACCAGCGCCCTCACCTGGCGAAGCACATTTCCCTCCTTGGAAAACAAAAAACAACAAAAACAAAAACTTACAAACAGAAATAGAAAGAAACCCTACATTTCCTGTCGTTTCTTGCACACCAGTTTAAATGCCTTATAGACAAGGATGATCCTCCAAGCACCTGAAGCTGTAGCTCCCGGAAGGTTTTTGATTGATCAAGACAGCTCTTTTGGCAGGACAGGAGGCTCTCCTGACACTTCTGCAGCTTCTCTTCAGCTTCTTTCTGCAAGTCGCGGACATGTTCCAACTCCTTCAAGCGAGCCTCTGTCTGGCTCCTCATCTGTGTCGTCACATTGGGGGGTCGGGAAAGAAAGAAGCAAAATTGCAATCATGTTCCACTGTACTCAAATTTACTCTACACACACACACACAACATTACACTGAATAGGTTGTGTATCCTTACCGTGTCCATCTCTAGATCCTTGGCTTCTGTGACCCTTTTGCTGTCTTGCAGGATCCTTTCATGCCTGGTTTCCAATTCTGTAGCTTCCATTTCTAATTTCCCCACCTAGAACAGGGTTATATTGAATACAGGTTTATTTTTTTTAGCATTGTCCAAAGGCACTTTTTGTGCATGAAGAAAATGCTCCTACAAGCTTGACACCAGTGTCAGGCAACCCCTCCCCACATGCAAGAAATTCTAACATGCTGAGGCCAGAGTGGCACGCAGCTACCATGTTTCCCCAAAAATAAGACAGAGCCTTATATTAATTTTTGCTCCAAAAACACATTAGGGCTTATTTTCAGGGGATGTTTTATTTTTTTCATGTACAATAATCCACATTGATTCAAATGCAGCCGGGTCATCTTCTTCTGATTGCTGAACAAGGGTGGAGGGTGGGATTTCACTTAACTGGGGCTTATTTTGGGGGTAGGGCTTATATTACGAGCATGCTGAAAAATCATGCTGTTGTTGTTTAGTCGTTAAGTCGTGTCTGACTCTTCTTGGCCCCATTGACCAGAGCACGCCTGGCCCTCCTGTCTTCCACTGCCTCCCGAAGTTTGGTCAAATTCATGTTGGTAGCTTCGATGACACTGTCCAACTATCTTGTGCTCTGTCGTCCCCTTCTCCTCTTGCCTTCACACCTTCCCAACTTCAGGGTATTTTCCAGGGAGTTCTCATGAGATGACCAAAGTATTGGAGCCTCAGCTTCAGGATCTGTCCTCCCA